TTCGAATGAATGGTTGTGATCTTGCAGAACGAAGCGCTTCGTTGACCAATACAGATTTAATAAGATCACTGAGCTTCTCAATAAACTCCATCCAAGCAATGTCTATGGAACAGTCGTCCAGAAACTTTCAGATGACATCTCCTAGTACTCCTGCCGGTATGTCCAAGTGGGTGCTTTATCGAAACAAGTTACTATGTTCTTGTGGATGAGCCGCATAACACACGATGTCGTAAATTATGGTTTCTTGGTCGCTGCACCTCAGAGGGCTGTCCATGATTGGTTTCTCAATCATGAGCTCTGCATTCGTGAGCACTAAATCGAGCACAGATGGTTTGTTTCCGGCTCGGAATCGGGTGGGCGAACTGACATGGATGAAGTGCGGAATACTTGTAATGTACTCTTGTAAGTCTGCTTTGCGTTACTCGTTGTGGATGCCGGAACTTCTATATCGGGAATATTGAAGCCGCTGGAGATGAGAACATGGCTGTATCATCCTCGTAGGACCATTCCCAAGAATGATGTCAGGTAGGAGTCCATCTCAGAGGTGGACATTGGGGGACGATAAGCCACAACTAAAAGGCAGGTGTCGTTGCGTTTCAGCCGCAGACTGCACCAGAGTGAGTCTATGATCATCATTTCTGCATCGAGCACCGGTTCGCACTGCAGGTTTTTGCGGTTGTATAACAATACCACCCCCGCCCTTGCTAGGGCGATCGTTTCGGAGAAGGGACATACTGTTAGATCTTCCCTTTTTCGCTATTCCGGATTAACCACCCAGAAATTTCTCCGCAGCAATTCTAGCCCAGCCGAAGAAAAATCAAAATTCCAACAGCCTTGACCACGAAAAACGTGTTAACAAAAACTCTGCCAACGTAGCCAGAAAATGCCGCCGAAAACACTGTCCTCTCAACTCTGAGGCAAAAGTCCAATTAGCCGGGTGTTTGAAAACACATTCGTCCGCTCGATCGATTGCCTGATCGACCGCACGGGGTAGGCGATTCTCTTTAGCCCAGCTTTCAGTCACCATTATATACTTTCCCTTTTTTGTTTTATGTTTTTATCTGATTCCCGGATACCTCCCCTCCTGAAGCTGTTGCCGTTGTGTATGAAGCTAGCCGGGGATTAACCTGGAGCCTCCTGGAAGGGATTCTTCGCCTACCGGTGCATCGCCTTGGCTGTAGTGTTCTGGATTCGAATTCCGTACTCTGCGGTCTGGTATTATTCGTCTGATGACAGGGTTCTTCTACTGGCTCTGTAGGCAAGTTGAAGCTGTCTGTCAACAGGGCAAATGGAAGTTTGGCGGATTCTATTGCTTGTGGCTGGCACATTGTTGTTCGCAGTTGGTTTGCATGGCGTACCCACACCTGCGTTCCAACCAGCACGTCGTAAATGACGCTTCCGCGCTTGCACTGGATCGTTCTTGGCGTCCAGTTTGCGTGTCCACCCCGATAATCACGCACAAGTACTGGCTGACCCGGTGTAAACGAACGTTGCTTGGCACCAAACCGCCGATTAAAATCACGTTCCATCTTTAGGTTCCTTTCACCAGCTATGGACTCTGAGGATGGCCGAACTGCATCATATGGCATGCGAAGTTTTCTCTTCATCATTGCCTCTGCTGGTGATATTCCACCCGGCGTTTGTGGATTTTGTGTAGATCGGTACAGAAATAGGAAGCGGTCGATCACCTCCTCTAGGTCTCCCTCCCTCCTTGATTTGAGGAGAGCGCGTTTGAATGTATCCACAAACCTCTCCGCTTGGCCATTCGATTGTGGGTGGAATGGTGGAGACCGCACGTGTTTGATGGCGCAACTTTGGCAGAATTCCGTGAATGTTGCCGAAGTAAACTGTGCTCCATTGTCCGTCACTAATGTTTCAGGGCAGCCGAACCTGCTGAAGATTTGTCGCAACCTAGAGACGGTTGCGCTGGTTTTCGTGCTTCTCATGCGGAACACTTCGGGCCACTTGCTATAAGCGTCGACCACTTTGAGAAAGTTCTGGCCATTGATTGGGCCTGCAAAGTCTACATGAACACGACTCCAAGGTTTAGTTGGTTTAGGCCATGAGCGGAGTTCAGTCTTTAGCGGTGCCCTTGAGGCGGTAGCGCAGTTGCCACAACTTTTAGCTAGCTGCTCTAGCTGCCTGTCCATAAACGGCCAATATACATAACTTCTGGCAAGCGCTTTCATTCGGTTGAGCCCTGGATGTCCTGCATGGAACTGTCGCAGCACTCTTTGTTGCAACGCCTGCGGGATGACTACTCTGTCTGAGATCATGATGCAATCGTCCACAATGGAAAGCGAATGTCTTCGCTGATAGAACTGCTGCATTTCGGCAGATGAACACGAACGTGGCCAGCTGGTTCTGTGGAAGTGTGTCACCTTCTTCAGGATTGGGTCTCGAAGCGTTTCGGCCCGTACAGCATCGGCCGTAACTGGCATACCATGTAGTGCCTCGTTCACCAGGAATTTGACATCAGGTTCGATTTCAACTGAGGCAATGATGGTGTCCTCGTGTTCTTGTTGCTGGGAATCAATGAGGCGTGACAACGCATCTGCTTGGCCCAGCGAATTCGTTGACTGATAACGGATTTCAAAATCATAGCCCAGCAATGTAAGTGCCCATCGTTGGAGTCGATTGGCTGTATAGGCAGGAATTCCCTTCTTCGAGCCGAAAATGGCCAGCAGCGGCTTGTGATCCGTCAAGAGTTTGAAGCGGCGACCATACAGCATTTTGTGAAATTTCTTCACAGCAAACACTATGGCCAATGCCTCCTTCTCGATCTGACTGTAGTTTCTTTCAGCTTTCGTTAGCGTCCTGGCGGCATGTGCGATCGCCTTCTGAGATCCATCTGGAAACGTATGGGAAACTACGGCACCGATTCCTAGACGCGATGCGTCTGTGGCAAGGACAATTTCCCGGGAAGGATCAAAATGAGTTAGGAGTAAGTCTGAAGCCAACAATGAGTTGACCCGCTCAAACACAGTCTGGCATTCTGGCGTCCAATTCCAGGTTTGGCCCTTGCTCAACAACTTATTCAGTGGGGCACGCAGGCGATGTAGTTCGGGTAGAAAAGCGCTGTAATGACTGATTAGGCCACAGAATGAACGCAGCGACTGCAAGTCCACAGGTGGGGACATCTTTTGAATAGCTCGGATATTTTCTGGATCAGGGCGACGACCGTCTTTTGAGAAGATGAAACCGAGAAACTTGATGGTTGGTGTAAAAAAGGTACACTTATCTCCGCGTAGCGTTGCCCGGAGTGTAACCCATGGCAGGTCCACCACCACCATATCCACTCTGGTTGTACGTCCCCCTTCCACCAGTCGAGGAATAGGGTCCTCTGGACCCGCCTTCCGAACGGCTGAACTGATCAAAGAAACACTTTTCCCGTACATAATATTCACCTTTGGCTAACGGGGTCGTGCCATAAACGGTTGCTGCAGAGCCGTTGGTTGCTCCATCCAATCCATTTCCAGTTACTGTGGAAGTTACTGCACCGATCGACGAATCCCCGGATGCCCCGTTTCCTGATCCTGCGGACACTGCTGTAGATGGGGAACAGATTGCAGCAGATAGATGCCCATCACCGGTGGAGGCAGTCGCATTTCCATCGGCTTCTGCTCCACATTCACTGACTTGGGTGTTGCTTTGGCAGATGTCCCCTCGACATTGGTAGTCATTTTGGCCAGTTCTGCTTCAAGCTCGGCGTTGGCTGTTTCAAAGTCGTACGGTGACGTGCAGTCAATTTCGGGTTCCACACTGCTAGGTTCACGCGAATTTCCTCGTCGCTCACTCGCTCTACGTCTGCTGACTGGTGGTCTGACTGGCACCAGATTGATCCCATGCGCTTGGTAGGCAGCAGCCATTTCTGGTGGGAGATAAACAAACATGCCTCCGGCTTGGTTAATTCCTCCTTGGTTGTATCGGCGGTCATCACCGCCACCGGTACCTCGGCGCATTGGCTGAACTGACTTGCGTCCGCTCAACCTTGGCCCCCCAGGACCGGCTATGATGGGCGCATTGAACATTCGGCTAGGTGGTCCTCTCAGACTTGGTCCATAGTTTGCTCGTCTAATTCCAGCAGGCCCGGAGACGATTGGCACAATGGGAACGTAACTTGCTTGTCTGGGTATCAGCCCTCCACTACTTCGTCCTCGGCGAGGATATGATACCAGCATGCGAGGCTGATTGGGTATAACCGGATGATTTGCGGGGTTAACGTACCTTCCCACTGGCACAGATACGGGACCGGCAGTATCCATACTGTTGGTTGGACTGTTCCTTGTGTTCGTTCTCCGTTGGTCACCTGCAGGCCACCAATTCCGGGACCGTCTCCCACGTCCACGATTCGCATCCAGTACCACTCCAGCCTTGGCAACTCCATTGTCACTCAATTCAATAGCCCGTTCTGTTTTGTCCTCATCCATAGACCACAGCTGAACAATACTGGACATCCAGAACGTGATGGAATCGAACATAGACCCTATCGGAAGTGGTTTACTATCTCCGCTTTGGGGCAATGTAGTGCTTGTCATACGGTTTTTTGAACCCTAGAAACGCACATTTTTCAAAGTCAGAGTGCCTTCAATCGAGTTGATCGCAGCTACGGTACCCTCGTAACGGTACTGCGCACTTGTGACTAACGATACTTTCATATCAAGGGACAACCGATTCGGCTGAATTTCTGTTCTTGACTTCGCAGGTGACCACGTGTGATTCCCAATCCAGCTTTCAATTCGGACGTTTTCAAGGTCGTACTGGATAACAGGATACGTCTGTCTCTGAGTCCTGTTCAGCTTCACTGCCGGACGCAGCGTCACTGCCCTTCTGCACGCTCGGTGCCCTGCTTGCGCCATTGTTAGATCTTCCCTTTTTCGCTATTCCGAATTAACCACCCAGAAATTTCTCCGCAGGCAATTCTAGCCCAGCCGAAGAAAAATCAAAATTCCAACAGCCTTGACCACGAAAAACGTGTTAACAAAAACTCTGCCAACGTAGCCAGAAAATGCCGCCGAAAACACTGTCCTCTCAACTCTGAGGCAAAAGTCCGATTAGCCGGGTGTTTGAAAACACATTCGTCCGCTCGATCGATTGCCTGATCGACCGCACGGGGTAGGCGATTCTCTTTAGCCCAGCTTTCAGTCACCATTATATACTTTCCCTTTTTTGTTTTATGTTTTTATCTGATTCC